AGTTGTGAATTGACTTGTTTATTTTTATGTTGTGAGTTGATTTGTTTATTTTTGTGTTGTGTTCATTATAAACAAATAAGATATATTTCAGTATAAATAATTAACTTATCATTCACTTTTTTTTCCGATTTAGGATGGATTAATTTTAATGAGTCGAAAGAAAAGGTAATTTATTTATTTTTTCATCTTTTTTATTTTCTTTTTTTACTAAATATGATATTTGATTTATCTATTCAATTTTTTATTCTTTTATCTTTTCATTTTTTTATTATATCAAACGGAACATAAATGAATGTAGGTGTAATATTAAGTGACAAGTATGAGGAGGTTTGGGTATAATTTATTCATTTAGTTTAGACAGTAAATTGACGGCTATTAATTTAAGGTGTGCATTGTTATAGTTTTTTATCTTTGAGAGTGTAAATTAAAATTTTTTATCTAAGAGTACAAATTGAGATTTGAACTATCTCTTAAGGTTTGAGATTAACCCAAAAAAAAAGAAAAGAATGAAGTTAGTTATATCAGGTCATTAGTTTCTCAAACTAGGTATATAAATGGCATTATTGAATTACTGGTGTTTCTTGTTTTTGTATCTGATCTCTCTTGAACCATTATTGTTCTTTTGCATACGAATCTAGCATGACCTGCACATTATGGTTGCTCCGAAAGTGGATTCTGTTGACATAAACTCTACCTTTATGCAAAAAAAAGGAAGTGATCGCCAAGAATGAGTCCACTATCTGGCAGCGGAAAAGTTAAAATTTATGCATATGCAGACATTAGTTGGCTATGGTTCCATGGAAAGTTCTGGGCAGTTGAACGCAGTGGATTTTGCTTACTCTCTAGAATTTGTAAATTATGTTTCGGATTTACAAATTTTGTGTTCTTGAAGTAAATTGGACGATTTTAGCAATTTTCAACTTTATTCCTCAACTATCTTACTTTTTAAATTTATACTTTTTGTTCATCTTTAGTTTTGATAATATTGAAAATTAAATATTGAATTTTTAAGTATTTAATGTTGAATTTTTAATTTGTAAATTATTTGGTATCTATTAAAATTTAAGTATTAAATTGATTTAAAAAATTATTTGACAAATATAAGAAATTGAAGTATGAAAATTATTATTATTTTTATTTTTTCATTTTTTTAGTCATATCACCATAATTGTCTTATTTTTACCATTACTATGGTCGTGGCAAAAATGGTGGTGCTAACAGTGGTAGCAACAAAATGGTGGTAATGTGACAGTGGCATAATGGTGGTGGCAGTGGTGGTGGATGGTGGTATTAAAAAGTCAGAGCGCAAAATAAATTAATGGTATATGTGTCAATTATGAGAAATTTATAAAATCTTTACTAAGTAATATTTTGAACAGTAAGTAATAAGTATGATCGTTTGTTATTTAAAATTTTGATCTATTTTTAAGAAGTGGTTTAAATATTAAATGATTAGTTTTAGATTATTAAATATGTTTAATTCATTAACTTGAAGTGTTTAAAATATGTAGTTTTAAGTGTTTAAGTGGTGTTATAACATAGTTTTAATTAAATCTTTTGAGAGCGACCGATAGATCCTATAATTTGAGAAAAAAGCAAGGAAATTTAGTGTGTATGAAAAATATTGAAAATATCAATATTATTATAACGTAATTTATTGATCTAATTCATTATAATCTTTGAATTGAATGTGAGTTTTTTTAATTCAATGGTTATAATAAAATTATAGGAAAATATTATTTTAATCTAATTTAGGAACTTAATCTAGAGACTTAATTCAATACAACCATTGAATTAGTAATAGGTTTCATCTAGCATTGAAACTCACAACTAATTCAATGATTGCATTGAAACTATATCATTATGTCTCTATAGTATTGTTCAAAATTATATCATTAGATTAATAAATTAAATTAAAATTTTAAATTTAAACAGTGACTCAATTGCAAAAGATGGTTAGGGTCTCTTTGAACATCTCCAATAGATTCTCTATTTTCACTCAACTCTCTATTTTAGAGAGTCAATCACAAAAAATAAACTCTACTAGATTCTCTATTTAGACTAGCTAAGAGCATCTCCAACCTAATTCTCTAAAATAGTTAGTCAAAATATATTTAAATATTATATTTTATATTTTAATTAACCACTTTTATAAGTTCACTCCAATCATACTCTCTATTTTAATTAACTATTTCACTTATTTCGCTAATTTCTAATAATTTAAAGGAAATACAACATATATATATATATAGAGAAAGATGTAGATAAAGAATTTAGAGAGACCAAACGACTTTTAATATTTGGAGAGCCATTTGTGTGAAATGGAAAAATAAAGAGTGGGATAAAGAGTGTGTTACAAAGTGTTTGACTAGCTAAGTAAATAAAGAGTGAGTTGGAGATGCTCTACGAACATCTTCAACAGTAATATCTATTTTAGAGAGCATTTTTTTGAAATAGAGAAATATATTTTTGACAATTCCAATGAGCTCTCTATTATAAAAAAAAATTGTCTTGTGGTCAATAACATTTAATAAAAAATATATATGTGCCACCTTGTTATTCATAAATAATAGAATAAAGAATGAATTTGACATGAACTCATTAAGACTTGATACAAATTCATCTTTTTTGAAATAGAGAAATATATTTTTGACAATTCTAATGAGCTCTCTATTATAAAAAAAAATTGTCTTGTGGTCAATAACATTTAATAAAAAATATATATGTGCCACCATGTTATTCATAAATAATAGAATAAAGAATGAATTTGACATGAACTCGTTAAGACTTGATACAAATTTGTTTCATTTCACCCGAAACGATTATCGTTCCAACTTGTTTACCTTCGTTCTAGAATTACAAATGATCTCAAATCCGTCAATTAAGGCGTGAAACTCAGTGCTCCATGTGTAGAGCGACCGTAATAGTTGAATGCAGCTAGGAGTCCAGGACTTATTGACCAGATTGGAAGAGGAGCCCACTTGAACCATGGCTCGGGTAATTTGTGAAACCAAGACGAAGACGTTGTAACATCAATCTCTCCCCTAATCCTCCCTCCTTTTTCGCCTTCATCACACTGAGTGGATTCCTCGTGCTATCAAATATCGTGTCAACCAGAGAGAGAGCACGGTGGTTCAATAGGATATTGGTTAAATTTCTCGTCTTAAAAATAGAAGTTTGAATTTTAGAGTCAATATTAAAGTTTGATGATTGATTGTTATATTAGTCTAATTAGATTCGTTTTTCAATAGAGTAACGAATATAGTCATGAGTCTCATTATTCTACCAATAAGAGCCTATCAGGATAGTCTTTAAGCGCTCTCTTTTATCCCAGCCTTACATGATCCATTAATATGAAACTAATACGATATAAAATTAAATTTTTTTGATTTTTCTTAAACCACTCATTTCATAAACGAGTAGATCAAACACAATTAATAAACGAATTCACTATAAGTGAAGTTATTAAAAAATATATATATGACACGACCCGTTTGTATATTCATTATACACAATTTGTACACGATATCAACCATTAGACAAAAAAAATTAGTAAACGAATTGGAAATGTATTAATGGTCTTCCATGACTAACACATGATTTGAGTAAGAGAGTATATTTGTTTGGTGAAAGTTTGTTACATGGAAGCTAGAAAACCTCATTTTATCGTATCTGATTTTGAGAAGAAAAGAAAAAATGACAAACTCGAAAAAAAAGATACAAGGAGAATTTGAAATATATTGTGAAACAAAGAGATACATATTTTTAAATAGCAAATATACCTCATGGGTAAATCCTGTGGTATTTTTCTATTAAGACAAATTAATAGAGCTGGATGGATGAACGGGATTGAAATTCAGTTAAAATTTTAAAAATATAATTATATCAATTGAAAACTTCAGATACTAAATAAAAATTATATAAATACTTTAATTGTGCAAATTATAAAGGGAAAAAAACATCAATAAATTATATTTTTTCTTTAAAAGAACCATTAAGTCATATCATATTTACCTTAAGACAATTAAGTCTTACTCTTGATAATTTATTCCCAAGAAATTCTAAACTCCGTTAATTGTTTATTTTGTTCTAATTTTATCATTCTCATTAAAAAACACAAATTACATTTTGTTTATAATTTTATATGCGAGTTGATTAAAATTTGATTCGAGTCAATTAAAAAAAATTTAATTGGCTTGAATCGAATTTTAGTCAACTTAAATTTTAATACATAAACAATATAATTTTTTATCGACTCGAATTTTAATACCTAAAAAATAAACTTTAATTAAGCTCAAATCAAATTTTAATCGGTCCAAATTTTAATACGTAAAAAAATTTAAAAAATAGAGAGGATATGTTTATCTAGAAAGGGTGTGAATGAAATTTTCTTAAAATATATCATTGACAATTTAGTAAAAATATATTCTAGTGAATACCTTAATCTGCTAGAGGATTTGAGTGAAGATTCAACAAATTGAAGAGTGTCTTTGAATATATAATAAACTAAAAGAGACCTGCTAAATTTTCTCAAGAGTTAAATATAAAATAAAATAGAGTTGTATAATATATCATTTTTATAAGACTCTATTGTTAATTACGTATCTTGGATGTTATGCACTAATTAAAAAAAATTCTTTTGGTCCTAATAACAAATATTATTAGTAAAAATGTAATTGGTATATTGATGAAAAGGATAAAAATAAATTATCAAAACTATAGCTTAATTATCCTAAAAATAAATATGATAGTATTTTATGATTTGTTTGAAAGGAAAGTAAGATTTATTGTTGATTTTTTTTAATTATAAATTCGCCTAAATTTATTTCTAGAGTGCGGTAAATTGATAATTAATTCGCCGTTAAATTGAACGAGGCTCGGTCTCAGGCTCGGCAACCGCGCCTCCCTCGTCAGTTGTCACCTTCACAAACTCACATACAAATGTACGCAAGTGTGTTAGAACTTGAACTTGGTAGTGAACTAGTCTTTTGGGCTACTTTCTCGTTCACAGAGAGAGAGAGTCGAAACCGTCTCTTTTCCGCTTACACCTTTCTCGCTCAGTAGTTAGAAGAAAATCAATGTTTTTTATTTTGGTTCAAAAGAGGGTCTATGGTAGAAAGATAGAAATGGTGTTTCGTGGGTTTGATGATAGCTAGAGAAAGGGAATTTCTGGGTATGATTCTGTTATCATTCAATGTCAAATCGATCGTTTCTTCATTGGGATAATTCTACAGAGAAATCAGAAACAGAGATACAGAGAGGGTGTCTCTGAGAAAAGAGCCACGACTCAGAAAACAGAGCTTTCAGCTTTTTCTTCCGTCAATTGAATTTGGTAATCACATGAACTCACTCTTCATTTATATATCCGTTGCCAAATAAAGTACACGTATACTTGTATGTGTGTATATATATATAGATAGATCATAGATAGTTACAGAGAGAGAGAAAGAGGGAGAAGGAGATGAAAAGGGAGAAAGAGAGTAGAAGGTTACGCGCATTCAGGACAAAAGCATAGCATTTCTTCTTTTTTGTAATTGCTTGATTCTAAATGCGGTGGTGAATTCATAATTTAGCAGTGGGTGTTTGTGTATGAGAGAGAGAGAGAGAGAGAGAGAGAGAGAGAGAGAGAGAGAGAGATGTACACTTCATTCAGCTAATTTGAAAGGTAAAAGCAGAGGCTTTCTCGGATCAATTTCACTCCAATGTAATCTTTCTTGTTGAAATTTGTAAGTTTACTCATTTATTTTATGTACACACAGAATTCCCTCTAAATCATCCAGATTTTATTGCGTAAAAGCAAAGCGAAACCCATAAATTCATTAACTTTCATTGAATCTTGAGAGATATCGCAGGTCTTAAAGATGATGCACGCCAAGTCAGACTCGGATGCCACAAGCTTAACCCCATCATCATCACCCACATCCCCAAAACGCCCCATACCCGTATACTATGTACAAAGCCCCTCTCGTGACTCTCACGATGATGCCGATAAATCTTCATCCTCAATGCACGCCACACCAACATATACTAGCCCCATGGAGTCGCCTTCGCATTCATCGACCTCCCTGCGCCACTCCCGGGCCTCCTCGGCCAGTCGGGTATCTGGCAACTTGCGATCTAATAGGAAGAGGAATGATAAAGGGTGGCCTGAGTGCAATGTGATTGAAGAAGAGGGTGATTATGATGATTTTTATGGGGATAGTGGGTTTACTAGAAGGTGTCAGTGCTTGATTGCTATCATGGTGTTTGGTTGCCTGTTCAGTGTGTTTTGTTTGATCATTTGGGGTGCTAGTAGGCCTTACAGAGCTCGCGTTTCGGTTAAGGTATATCCCATTTTACATTTGATCGCTTTTTTTATGCACATACGTGCTAATGTACCTGTATATGATGTTATTGTGAAGTTAAACTCATAGTATACCCTCATTTTTTGAAGCCGTCATGTATTTTATGCATGTACTTGTACAAATCATATTAGTGTAATCGTGATTTGATTAGGATTTTATTATCATTGCTTGATGGGAGAAAATATTTTGCTTAATGAAATATCGGTGTTTCCCGTGTATGCATTTTCTCTGAGCACATAAATCCTTCAATCGCGGAACAGCAACATAGACCTTAAAACCAATAACAACATTCTTGGAACCTATTCTATGGTTTGGAATCTTTTGATATATTGCTTAATCAATCTTTTAAAACTCAAAATTCCATCTTAGAACACCAAGAAATTGCCATTTACCAGAGCAAGTTTGATTTGAGCACTGTTTAAACCCTTGAGAGTTTTCTTAATTGGTTTAGTTTTCTGCAATGCAAATCTAATATTACTCTATTGAATTCTAAGACTGACTCCTTTTTTGTCAATCTTAATATGTTATCATATAATCTCCCTTCAGTAAACTTTTTATGTAAAGAGGATCGTTTAAAATCAGTGATACTAATTACTTCTGTGAGTTCGTTCAAGAACTAAATTTGTCTATTGATCTGGGGCTTCTTTATTGTATTTGATCCTGGCTGCTTCTAGTGATAATTAAAAACACAAGAAGTAGCTCCTTTATGTCCCTTACTTTAATTCCTTGCTTCTGAAATACTCCCATCTGTTATAACTTATAATGCTTCTTTTCTTCATAATTTCTTCATCTGTTTAAAATAACCCTTCTCTTTCAGAGCCTGACAGTTAACAATTTCTACTTGGGGGGAGGCTCGGACTTGACAGGGGTTCCAACCAGGTTGCTCACAGTAAACTGTTCGGTGAAGGTGGTTGTATACAATCCTGCTACTTTTTTTGGCATTTATGTCACCGCCAACCCTGTTAGTCTAATGTACTCGGAGCTTACTGTTGCAACTGGTCAGGTGAGATTCTTGACATAGCCTGTTATTGATGTTTTTTTTTGCTGATTAAAAAAAAAAAAAAAGGCTGAAAAGAAGAGTAGCATTTCAAAAGCTCAAACCAGTATTTGCAGTACCAACAGCCAAAATGTCATAGAAGAAGAAACTAGTACGTTTCAATATGGAAGCTGCTTGACAACAGAGGGTTCCCTAAAGTTTCAACTCTCCATCCCCATACCCACCCCCACCAGCCACCATTCACCAAAAACATTTTTGAATTTTCAGATTATAGCATTTCTTGGTTGTTAAATTACTCTCATAATCCTTAGAATCTACCTCACTTCTTTTATGTTAATTTAGAACCTGGATGCTAATCTTGAATCAATCATCTCTTAATTTTCACATTTGTGGATGCAGTTGAAGAAACATTACCAACCAAGAAAGAGTGAGCGGACTGTGTTTGTGAACGTGGAAGGTTATATGGTTCCTCTATATGGGGCTGGAGCAAGCTTAGCAGCACCAGACGGTGGTGTTGGGGTGCCACTAAAGTTGGAATTTGAAATGCAGTCACGAGGCAACCTGGTGGGAAAGTTGGTGAAGACAAAGCATCGAAGGCATATCTCTTGTTCCTTAGTTATAAACTCTAAGAACACAAAAGCTATAGAATTTAAGGAGAATTCATGTACGTATGAAGTATGATTGATCAGTTGACGATTCCATATGTAACATAAAACCCAACTCCATATTTGCAACCTTCAGATAGCTAATTGAGCCATACACATAGTGCATGTGTCTCCATATGTGGGCAATGTCATTTGATCTACTTGAGGTCTTATTTATAAACATGTAGTAGTTTATACCGGTTGCGTTTGTTTTAATGCTTTTTTTGGGCTATTCCTTACAGGGTTAACTTCGGTCCACTCATTGTGCAATTAGCAGTTTGCTTTTGCTGTTAAGTTCTTATATGATCCCAAAATTTATTTTGATATTGAGCTATGTTAGTTGTACACTAGTATCAAACTTTCATTAGACATGGCGTCTTAAAACAATTAAAAGAAATTACATACTGGATTTTTATCATGCATTTTTGGGTTGATTAAATGAATCTTTGAGCATGCAGGTCACAATCTGGTTCAATTCTGCTTTGTTCAGCCTTATTTTACCAACTATTGATTTGGGAGAAATATATATATATATATATATATATATATATATATATATATATATATATATATAT